GCCCTCACCTGCTTGTCCATTCGCATACCCGCTGGCCCACTTGCCTGCTCGCCCGCTCCTCCGCCTGCTCGCCCACCATCCGCCCGCTCGTCTTCCTATCCGACCACCCGCCTTGGCGTCTGTGCCCGCAGTCTACCCGCCGGCTGCGTTTGCATGCGGGGCATTCGCCCGTCGCGCTCGTGGTCGGCGCGTCTGCTGTGCTGCACGTCGGCGCGTCCTATGCCCAAGGTCAGCTCGCTCGCTCGCGCAGCCTGCACTCACCTTCTATCGACTGGTCGCTCGGCACCAGCCTTGTTGCTCGCCAGCCTTGTTGCTCACCTGCTGCCCACCCATTCGCCCTGCGCCCACATGCGGTCCCGCCCGTACGCTGCCCGTTCATCGGCCGTGCCTGCACGCAGGGCATTGGCCCTGCGTGCTCGCGGTCGTTGTGCGCGTCGCGCTGCACGCCGCGGCGTCCTGTGTCTGCAGTTAGTGGGCGAGCTCGTATGAATCTGCACTCACCTGCAGACCCTTTTCCGTCCCCGCCAGTCGCCCATCCCTGCCTGCTGTCCGTTCATCGCTGCGCCCGGGCCCGCGGTGTGTTGATCGGCTGCGTTCGCGCACGCGCTCTTTGCCGTGGGTGCTCGCTGCACACATGTGCGTCGTGTTGCTGTGGCTGAGGGCGTGGGCGTGGGCGAGTCGACCTGGTGGAAGGAGGCATGAGAGGGAGAGTAGAAGTCGTAGGTATGTATGCTCGCCGTCGTAGGGCAGTGAGTCGAGCGCCCTAGCGGCGCGTGCGTGCGCGTGAACCAAGTGCGAAGCGCCCGTTTCGCAGCTTGAGCCTCTCTCGCAAACTCTCTCGTGATCCCTGCTTGACGACCTCCGTCCGACACGGGAACCGGCCACGCAACACTGTACGTTTTGGGACTCAAGCGAGTTGCCCAACAACTCGTCAGACGCGGACTTGAAGGACGAGCCGAGGCAAGGCTGCCACCCAAAAAGGAGATTGACAAGGTCCTTGCCAATCTCCATTTGAGGTGAGTCACTAGTCGTCACGGTATCTAACGTTAAGTATTACACCCACCACCACTTCAAGCTCCACACGACCGGACAGCTTTAGGACGGCGAGCGCCGCCACGCAACACACGAATTGCACGACGCGCATGCAAGTTCGTGCCCGCCAAGGACGGGAGGTTGGACTAGCGGAGGTGAGGTGGGGTGAGCGAGCATGAATCTGAACGGTACGCCCTTCGCTATGTTCGTCGATACTTCCTCGCTCGCTCGGCCATTCACCCACCCACTCGCCTCCCCGGTCGCTCGCCCTCGCGCACGCGCCAGTCTGCTCATTCGGCTGCCCACCTGTATCTTCGTTTGTCCGCTCGGCGGCGCTCGCTCGTCTGCCGACTCCTGCTCACTCAGATCCGCCCGTCTGCCCGCTCCCCCATCCGCCTGTGCGTCTGCCCGCCCGTCCACCCGTCCGCCCGCTCGCGCGCCTGCGAGCTCTTGCTTGCCCGTTCGTCTATCACCTGCATGCGCGCCCATCTGTTCGCCCACCCATCAACTCATTCGTCTGCTCGCGCATCTGCGTGTTCGTCCGTCTGTCCGTTCCCTTGCTCACTCGCATGCAGATCTGTCTGCGGTGGTTTGAAGTGTGGTGAGGGAGCTTGGAGGCTCGAGGCTGAAAGGTACGCCTGCCTCGTCGCCCGTCTACTTCCTCGCTCGTTCAGTCATTCACCCATGCTCGTGTCTCCCCGTCCGCTCGTCTCCCCGTCTGCTCGTCTCCTCTTCCACTGTCTCCTCGTCTACACGTCCGCTGGCTCATCTGTGTACCTCTGCGCACTGGCGCATCTTCCCACTGTCCCCACCCGTAGTCTTCCGCGACGGCTCGAGCGTCACCGGCTTGTGTCGAGCCTGAGGACGTGCGCTACTCTCAACCGCCAGCAGGCCTAGCACCGCTTTGACGTCAACACATTCTATCAGCCAGCGTGGCTGCGCGACGCCAGACTTGCATGATGGGCATGCAAGTCCACCCCGAGCAGGATCACCAAGAACCTCGAAGATACAGGGCGAGGAGGGAGGCCAGCGAGCGTGGAGGCTTGAAACTGAAAGGCACGCCCATCCACTAGCCCACTTGCATGCACGCCCATTTGTTTGCCCATTCGCCCATTGGCTTTCCTGTTTGTTTTCCTGTTTGCTCGCTCGCCCGCCCGCCCCCATGTTCGCTGTCCGCTCACCTACCGGTCCACTTGCCAACCAGCCTCCCGCTCTCCTGTCCGCTCTCCTACTCGTCCGCTCCTGCTAACCAGCATGCTCGCCCTGACGATGTTCACACAAGACGGCGCCGCAGATGTATGGGCAGGGCGGGTGTATTGCGCTGTACATGTGTGGCATGCACGCGCTTAGATTTGTGTCCTGGCGGTGTCAGGATGTGATGACCACGTCTGGACGTAAGTGATGTGCTCCTTGTCTGTCTGCCTGTCTGCTCACTCGTCTGCCCGCTTCCTTGCCAGCATGCCTGTCTACCAGTCCGCTCCCCCACCCTCTCGCACTTCCACCTGTCTGTGGGCCCACCCACGATTGTGGCCACATGACACTGGACTTGCATGACAGGCGTGCAAGTCCAGCCCCGAGTGGCAGGATCACTAAGCACGCAACAGACGAAGGACCAGCGGGTTGAGGTGTGGAAAGTGACCTTGGAGGCTTGAAGCCGAAAGGTATGCTTCCGCTCCCACCAGCACATTTGCGTGTCCGCTCTCCTGTTTGCTTCCCTGCCTGTCCGCTGGCGCGTCCACTTGCTCACCCATATGCTTGCTTGCCGGCACACTCACACGTCTGCTCGCCCATCTATTCACGCGCCTGCACGCTTGTTTGCTTGTCCATCTGCTTACCCATATGTATGCCCGTCTGTCCTTGCGCCCACCCATCTGCTCGTTCATCTGCTCATTTTGTAATGTATGATGTTGGAGACTAGTAAGTCTCTGGAGTCTGGAAGTAGTGTAGGCTACATTTGTATCATTGTCTATCAATGTATTCGCATATACCAAAAATATATTCAATGACCCCAATACCTGGGAATGTGCCAAAATGATTTGAGAGCAATCAATAAGTGAATCTAAAGCTGCAGAAATTGGCACACAAGGAGAATAAACCAACACACCACACGTAGAAATGAAGCACAAGGTCAATGCCAAAAGCATCCCAAAAGTGCTTTCTGAAACGAGCAAAAGCGCTCTCAATCAGGGTACTTGTGTTGAGGTCACTTTGGAGCTTGGGATCACTTTGGGGCTCTCAAAGTGCTTATAAGTCGTTGCAAGAACATATGAAGTGCTTAATGATTTTGGCGGTTTTCCCTGATGAGGCATGCACAAGGCGTGCAGTCAGAGTACTTAGCAGCTGATCTAGCTTTCTCCATCAACAGCAGCGTGCGTCTACACTCTCGCCCAATCTGACAAACGGTAGTGTAGGCGCATGACGTGCACTACAATCGCTATCCTTCTGCGGGGACGGAAGGCGGGGTTTCGCGGGCCGCAACATGTATCGGTTCGGTGCGTCTATCCTTACCTGAGTTGCATACAATGGACCGATGTATGCTCCGGTAGCTCCTTGTAAACCCACTAGACGGAATGGCGGCCGATGGGGTTGTCCAGCCGCTTGGGGTGACCACTGCCTATCCGATGACATTCGACGTCTCATTCTTGCAAAGCTCAGTCACACCCCAAGATTCCCGCGCTCTTTGACTTGCCTACCGTCCCGTCTTATGCAAGTCGCTGACTACGCACCAGTCCGGCACTCGACCCTTCCTCCTACGGACCGCCTTCGCAGACGGTTAGCCCATACGCTCCTCGCTATTCCATTCTCAGTCACGCACACGGGCACGATCAGCGTGATGGCGGTCGACTCAGGTCCGTTTCTAGCGGATCTCTTACCATGGCTTTGAACGTCGAGGAGGTGAGTTTGCTTTGGTTATCACGTACCCAACAGATCAAACCCAATGCCTGTCATTACACTAGGATGATCTACACCAAGCTCCTCTTGCACCGCCAGACACCAGCCACCTCCTCTGCCTGCGGGAGCATACACTGCTACGCTCAGCTCCACACCCTTCGGAACGAGATGGGCGACGATGTCCGAGAAGGATGGGAGACTCCTCAGGAGAAGGAAACACAAGAGGTGTGGGGGTTTGGACCGGAGCCATCGCAGGTGAGTATCCCCGCCGCAATCTATGTCTTCGTAATTCCTGGTGCTAATGTAGGTCTCATAGTGTACCACTTTGCAGCCCGATCACTAGAGGCTCATCGGCCGAACCACTGAGGTCGACTTGAACTCCCGCAACTGCCTGAACATCATGATTCATCATCCACGTCAATTTCTCTTGCCGCTACTGTCCCGCCACCCCTTCTAGGTTGACACGTCACAAACTTACGGTGTCGAGGCGCACCGTGCGTGCGCAGGTCAGGGTCGTGTGGGGCATGCCCTTCCGTCAGCCAGGCATGACCGTGGTGCGCCTGAATGGCGTCGAGACCGTGTACTATGTTCTACAATATCAGACAGTACGCCTACGTGCAGAGTTTCACCAAGGGCTTATGAACTGATTGATAGCCACAGCGCTAGTTGTGACTTCCTATGGACGGGACACACATCCGGGCATCTTCCGTTGCCATCTGCCCCTCCCCGACACTCTACTTAGCTAGTGCATTGCAGGGGTTCAGTCAACCCGCGGGGGTCAGGGGTAGGGGTACACGAGGGTAGGGGTAGGGGTTGCCATATCCAGTACACCCGTACCCGCCAGTTACCCCTTGTGGAAAGCGGCGCGGCGAGCCACCGGGGACTCACCACCAGCTCAGATTTGGATCTGGGGTTCTTGCTCAATATGGCAAGCCAAGCCTGGGCTCGCTAGAATAAAATATACATTTCCCAAAACAAGCATGCTTTCGTAAGCACAAGAAACTATCAGCAACTGTAGTCAGCCCGAAGCCCCCTCCCACTCCGAGTCTCCCATCTCCCAGACCCACCTACCCACCATGTCTGGACACCGCGTCAGTAACAGGCCGAAGGTCCCTACAGAGAAGCGAAGAGCAGCTGAGTCACCACCGAGAAGTGAAAAGACATACAAGAAACCACGCACCGATGATACTGATACTCAGCCGAGCACAAGTGGCAGTAGCCGCAAGGCTATCACAGGCCCAAGGGCCTCGACAGCGAGTGCAGGTGCCTCGACAGCGAGTACAAAGGCTTCAAGAGCAAGCGTCAAGGCCTCGACAGCAAACGCGAAGCCCTCGACGGCGAGTGCGAAGGCCTCGACAGTGAACCCGAAGGCCTCGACGGTGAACCCGAAGGCCTTGACAGTGAACCCGAAGCCCTCGACAGTGAACCGCAAGCCCTCGACCGCGAACCCAAAGCCATCAAGGCAGTGCTCCGTCGAGATTGAGGAAGTCGAGGATGTTGACGACGTGATCTCACGGACTCGGAAAGGAAGCAAGTCGAAAGTAATAGAGTTGTCGAGCTCCGAAGACGAAGAGGATGACCCCACCGAGCCGACTGACTCGGAGAATGGCGAGGACCTTGAGGAGCTAACAGCCGAGGAAGAACTCGGTGAGCGATATCAAGGTGATGCTATGGACGTACTCACAGTGGATACACAGCACAGATGCAGAAGAAATGGACATCACCGACGTACGCGTTCTTCAAACCCGATCCGTTGATAGAGTATGTCCACGGCCGCCGCTCGCATGTCTTCCACTGCGCAAACACTGCATGTAAGAAAGGGGTCAGGCGGTACCTTGATGGCAACGATGCGAGGTCAACGAGCAACTTACGAAAGCATGTGAAAGCTTGCTGGTCACTTGAAGCCTTGGAGGCCGCCGATCGTACAGGTTTGGCATCAAAGGCGAAAGTATGTATAGAGAAGTACAGGCGGACGCAAGACATCACACTGGCATTCGGAGGAGCATCGAAGGGGAAGACAACCTTCTCAACTCGTCAGCACACTCCAACTGAGACAAGGTAGGGTAGCACTTACTGTGTACGAGCAATGCGCTGATCCGAGTTTGGACTCGCCAAGGGCGGAGATCGTTCGATGGGTTTCGGAAAGCATGCGGCCGTTCAATATTGTCAACGACCGCGGGTTCCAATGCCTGATGAAGACAGGGCGACCCGAGTATAAGATCCCATCGCCAACTACTGTTGGGCGCAATGTTCGTAAGGTCTTCTTACGGGCGCGTGAACGCGTTGCACACTTGTTACAGGTGAGACGTCGTCAGTGATCTGTTGTCTCGGGGCCATAGAATCGAATCAACTTACCAGAACTACGACGGTGACCTGAACTTCGCAACCGATGCATGGACGTCGCCGAATCAAAAGGCCATGGTTGCATTTACTGTACACTTTGAGTATCATCGCGCGCCCATGCGACTCGTCCTCGATGTTGTCGAGGTCCCCGTGTCCCATAGTGGGCTGAACCTTGCGACAGCGTTCGCAGAGATGATCGAGGAGCTGAAACTCAATACCAAGGTCAGTAGATTGGAAATCAAAGCATACTATGCACTTACATTGGCTGGTAGATACTCGGAGTGACCTGCGACAACGCGACATCGAATGATGTGATGATTGAAGAGATGGAGAAGATGATCATGGGCTTTCCGGGGCGTCGGGCACGCAGCCGATGCTTTTGCCACATCGTAAATCTGGTGGCGAAGAGTTTGCTTCGTCAGTTTGAGCCACCCAAGCCAAGGAAAAAGAAGAAAAATGAAGATGGCACTGACGAGTATGACGAGAGTGCGGATGATGATCCCGAGCTGTCGGATTACGACCGAGAGCTTCAAGAATTGATGGAAGATCTCGATTTTGACGAGACCGAGGAGATCGAGGACGGGCAGGGCGACGACATCGATGGCCTGTGGGACGCGCGTGAGGATCTCAGCACGGAGAAGAGGTCGTCGCTCGAGGAAGAGGTTCGGCCAGTGAAGATGATGCTCGTGAAGGTGAGCATCAATCACATCCACAGGAGAAGAAACTTACCATGGGTCTGGCTCGGTAGCTGCGCAAGATCTCTGTCTCCATCCACCGCTCGCCGACGCTCCTGTTGCCGAGTTGGATGTTAGGGCTCGTGGGCTCGGAACCCTAGATTCAGGGGCCGGGCTGCCTCGTGAACCTACAGTTGGTGGTCGCGACGCGACCAGAGGGGGAAAGGGTGTCTTGAGGTCGTGAGCAGGGCGAGGAGCGCCTGCTGGTGTCGTTAGCAGGGCGACGAGCCGTGCTATAAGGGAGCGCAAGGAGGTCCTTGGTTGCCAGCGACGAGCTGGGCCAAGAGGTGAGTCCTAGACGGGCTGTTGGGCCAGGTCGAGGAGGGGTCCAAGGCGAAGGCGACGAGCCTAAGCCGAGGGGAGTTCCTAGGCGGGGCGACGAGCCTAGCCGAGGACAGGGGAACTAACTCGGACGGCGCGAAGAGTTCGCACTCGGACAAGGTGGTAGTTCAGGTAGAAGAGTAGATTACTTCCCAAAATGGAAGTCAGGTGGCTAGGTACATTGAGATAAGATGAGATGTACACTATCAGTTCATAATCTAATCTAATGGACAGATAATGGGTTATCTATCCGTAACAGAGCCCCCCATTATGAAGTGTATAGTGTGGGTATGAATGATGAGGTGAGGGCTCAGAAGAAGTAGATGTGGACATAGAGTGGAAAGGAGAAGGAGCATAGAAAGGAAAATTTTTTGGGCAGTAAAACTGCATCTAGAAGGCTCCGCCATGCAGAGACTGAGCTGTGCCGCATGTATCGCATCCCGAGCGGTCATCCTCGCAGGCATCCCGGTTGCACCACAGTCGCCATGCAGAGGATGCGCTGTCCTGCGTGTACCGCGTCCCAAGCTATCATCCTCGCAGAAGGCATGGATATGCCTAGGGCCAGGGTAGGCTAGGCTCAGTGGACCTCCCTATCCTCCCCTACCCCCTGCCCCCCAATCCCGAGTCGGAGCGATCCAGTGGGGAGGTTTGGCTCGAGATTCCGTAGAGCGGAGGGGATGGTAATTGGTAAGGGCAGAATAGTAGTGAGGGTGGGTGGGCTGGGCTTTATCTGCCTCTATTGTGTAGGCATTCCTCGTCGTAGGCGTCTGACACTCGTATTGCCTCCTCTATTTGCCACCGTGCATGCACAAGTGCAGCTAGTGCAGCTGGTGACTTGTCGTAGACAACACGTTCCTGGGCTTCCCTATGCGCACGATAGAGTGGGCTGAAGCTGATTGGCTCGTAGCGTGCAGGGGCAGAACTCAATGAGGGCAGACTACGAGGAGTGCGGACGTTCCACACGTCCTCATTGTCGAAAGCCGAGGGAGATGGTGCCGAGTTTGGTGGGACATGACGGTCGAGATCAAGGGGCACCGAGTCTTCATCAAGAGCAGCCGCATGCACAGAACGTGCGAGTGGAGAGCAGGGTCGAATGGTTCGACCGCTGCCTTCAGGAGTGGATGAGTTCGAGAAGGGTGAAATGGACGATAGTGAGGTGTCAACACACAACGTGCCGGAAGTAGTCAGCGCGGCTCGCACCGACGAGTTGGAATCCTCGCAGCGATCATGCGTCGACGCGGACGAGTCGAGTGAGGATGTATGTACACCGAACGAAGGCGGGTGCATGGGTGTGTCGGAAGAGGAGGCGCCGCGCGAAGGCAATGATGCATAGTGTGAGGGTTGCGACGTGGGCGAAGACGCAGACGTGCTGGATAAAGGCGAGTGCCTGGGACGAGAAGGCGCAAACGTGCCGGACGAAGGCAGGCGCGCAGACAAGTCGAGCACGGGAGTGGGAGCAAGGCAGGAGGAAGTGTTCGTGCTTGTGATTGAGCTCGATGGGACACCACAGTCGTGATTGAGGAACGCCGAGTCGACGCCGAGAGCAGGCTCGTGCACGGGACGTGGGAGTGTACTCGGAGAGCAGGGTCGAAGAAGTCGACCGCTGCACTCGAAAACCTGGGGCGGAGGTGGAGCCGGATCGGACACTGATGGGCAGTAGATACTGGACGTGCGGACGTCACTCCGCACGGTCCAACTCTCCGAGTCATCAGATGGGTCGTCCGCCAGATTAGTTTTGCGAGCCTTGGAAATGCTCAGGCGTGAAGGCGGCAACGGGGACACAGGCGAGGATGCTTGTGTGCTGGACGAAGACGAGCGCGTGGAACGCAAGAGTTGCGACACGAGTGGATGGGCACCGGGCGGAGAAGTTGGTGTGTCGGTCGAGACACTTGTCTGAACTGCCGGCGTGACCTCAGTATCACGTCCTACGTGCCCCTGGGGTCGTCCGACCTTGCTCGTTGGGCTGGCTATTGTACCGGGCGCGCGGAGAGTCCACGCGGCCCAGTACTCGCTCAGCGAGACGTCCAAGCACGGGTCTTTCGGGGTCGCCGAGTGACCGGATCGCGAGGAGGATGGCGGAGGCGTGACGGACGAGGGCGCGCGGCGCGAGGGCTGTGACGCGAGCGGAACATCGCACAGTGGGAACGTGGACGGAGTGCAGGGAGGCAGCGGAGGCGCGGGCGAGGACACATGGAGAGTCATCTCGGCTCGTCCTTGCTGTCCGTCAACCTCCCAGCCTAGCACTCCTGTACGCGGCGGAGCGGCCTGGTCGTAAGCCCTGCGAGTGTGCAAGGCACTGCTAGTCAACACGGCCGGCGCAATCTCGGTATCACGCCCTTCCTGCAAGTATGGTCGTTCGGCTTCACTTGTCGGGCTAGCTGCTGTACCAGGCGCGCGGACGTTCCGCACTGTCCCGTACTCGCTCGGCGCGACGTCCTTGTTTGCCTTCGAGTGCGTCGGATCGACCGTCGAAGTGGCCTTGTGGGCGTGCAGTGCATGGCTCGTTTGAGCCGCTCCGTCTTTGTCCCACGCGTCGCCCGTGCGAAGGGTCTCGCCGCCTGCATGTGTCGACGCAGGCGTGTCGAGCGAAGGCGAACGCGCCGGACGCGGATGCGGGGAGATGGGCGGCGATCTGGCTTTGCGAACCGATGGCGGAGGAGGGGTCGAAGGGGCGTGGTGAGTTAGAGTACTCACTGAGGTGGTGTCTGTTCGCTCCTCGTTTCGATCCCTCTCCCCTGTCTCTTTCTTGCCTGACTGCCCCCCACACACTAGTTCATGCCTGCTCGTGTCGGTATGGTTTGAGGTTTCTTCCTCAAGCTTCAGTGCACGCGTCGGCGTCCATGCGTCGGAATCTTGCAACCTGCAGGCTCGAGCTTGCTCACCTGGGCCGGCGGCGGGGTCGCTACCGGGCGCGCGGACGTTCCACGCGGCCCTGTACTCGCCCTGTAGGCTCTCTTTAGGTAGCTCAGGTTCGTCTTCGCGCGCTTCTGCGCGCCTCGGCGTGACTTGTGAGACGGTCTCGTTAGCGTGCAACGCGCTGTCCGTTTGCGTGGCTGACGTAGCCTCGACTTTGCTCCTGGGGTGCTCAGCTTCCCAGGTTGGGCTGGTTGTCGTACTAGGCACGCGGCGGATCCACGCGGCCCAGTATTCGCTCAGCGGGGACGCGGACGTATCAGGAGCGGGCGATGGTTCAGCGACAGTGGAGTCGCTACCAGGTGCGCGGTGGTTCCGCACAGCCTCGTGCTCGTCTCGCGGACTTTCCGTGTGATAGGCTCCGAGGGCGAATGGGTGACCTGAGTGCGTAGGTGGTGCTGTAGATGTGGGTGGGGACGCAGACATGTCAGACGAGGACGGAGATCGAGTGATCCCGACTCCCCTACCCCCCTGTCTGCATCCGCACTTGTTTTGCTTGGTGGCCCCCCACTTGCGAGTCCGTGCTGGCTCGCTTTTGCGCTAGCTGGGGCTTCTCCGGCCCGCTTGAGCAAGTGCGCCGACTCGCTGGACTCGTCGTCGCGCGGTGGGCGGGCGGGCTGTTGATCGACTTCGCGTGTGGCGGCGACGAGGGTGGGGAGGTTACCGGGCGCGCGGACGTTCCACACGGCCCGGTATTCCCCTTGCAGGTCATCGGCGCAATCGGTCTTGGCGACTGTCGAGCGTCCGGGAAGCGAGTGTGGCGGTGAGGCACCAGGAGAGGGCGAGAGGCGCGGAATCGAGTCGGGCGCATGTGAACGCACATTGCGCGAGAACGCAGGTTCGTCGAGTGAGGATGGCGAGGGAGGCGTGTGTGCGTCAAGTGACGGTGGAAGAGCGGAAAGGGCCGGGCGAGCGCAGCGCGGAGACGCAGGCTCGTCGAGCGGTGACAGACGAACGGACGGGGGTTCACGAGTGAGGTGCACGATTGCAGACTCGTTGAACGAGGGCGTGCGGCTCGAAGGCGGGTGCTGGTCGACGGGGGTACTTGCCGGAATCGATCCAGCTCGTCCTTCCCTTCGTTTGTCCAGTAGGTCGTCCTTGCGAGAGGATACGAGGGAAGTCGAGGTGCTGTGGTCTTCGATGCTCGCTGTTGTCTTGACGGCGGTGTCCGAGGCTGAAGGGTCGTTACTGGGCGCGCGGACTTTCCACACGGCCCAGTACTCCTTCAGGAGGTCGTCCGGGTGAGGCGTCTCGTGGATGGTTGAACGGTCGATGGTCGAGGTGGGCGCCGAGTAGTCTGAGCTCGAGACGGGTGAGTCGAGGCGAGGTCGAGGCGAGGTCGTAGTTGTGTCGGACCGACGTGCAGACCCACCGGTCTGGCACACGGGCGCGAGTGGGAGAGGGCGTAACGAGGCCTTGGACGCATCGAGCGAGTCGGGGAACGTGGCACGGGAGCTGAGAGGAGAGGAATCGGGAGAGGGATGCGGATGGACGGTGGAACTCACCGGAGTCGACTCGACTCGTTCCTCCCTTCGTTTGTCTTCCCTGCCTAGCGAGCCCTCGCTTGGCTGCCCCCACTCCAGCGTTCAGGACTGTCCGCTGTAGGGCTGCGCTGAGTGTTTCCCCCGTATGGCTCGGCGCGAGTGTGCTTGGCTTGCCCAACAGGCGTGCAGGTGGGTGGCGAGCCGTCCGTCCGCGCCACTGTCGGGACTTCCTTGCGGGGCTCTGATACGCGCGTGGGCTTGACTCGCTCCTCTTCGTACGTCGAGCTGGCTGCTGCGCCAGGCGCGCGGAGAGTCCACACGGTCTGGTACTTGCTCAGCAAGTCGTCCGTGCCGAAGGTCTCGGAGGTCGTCGAGTGGCGGAGGCGCGGGGGAGACGACGGGGTCCCGGAGGATGGCGCGGACGAGAGTGTGTAGCTCGAGGCGGAGGACGGAGGCGCGAGCGAGGCGGGGAGCGTAGAACGCAGATGATGAGAGGAGGAGGATGGTGGTGGCGAGACCGTGGGCGTGTCGAGCGAGGGCAGGGACATGGCGCGTGGACGAGGACGAGGAGGGACGGAAGGTGGGTGCTGACCGCCGGAGGTACTCACCTGAGTCGCTCTGACTCGCCCCTCCCGTCGGCTGTCCTGTCTACCCGGCGAGCTCGAGCTCGTCTGCCCCCCACTCCCTGGCTCATCGCTACTCGTCTTGGCGCCTGGATGGACGGCCTCCGCGTGAGTACTGAGGCGCACTAGCGAGGTTAGTTCGGCTTCGTTGAGCGTCGAACTCGCGACCGTGCTGACGGAAGGGTTTGAGGCTGCAGAGGAGCCACCGGACGCGCGGCAGTTCCGCGTGGTCCGATACTCGTCTTGCAGGTTGCCCTTGAGAGTGGTATCGACGGAGTCCGGGTGTGGAGTGCGCGTCGAGAGCGTAGGCGTGTCGAGCGAGCGGGAAGACGCGGCGCGAGAGTTGCTGCAGGGAGTCGAACACAAATCGAGAGGCGATTCGGTTCGTTTCCCTTCGAGTGCCGGGCTTGCAGCTATGTTCACCGCGGGGCTCGAAGCAGTGATGATGCCTTTGGACGAGCGGACGTTCCACACGGTCCAAGGATCATCCTGCGAGCGGCCGGCGAGGGCGATACTGGATGAGGTCGGGTGACCAGAGCGCGAGAGCGTGTCGGATGGCGGCGGACAGACGGAAGTGGGTGAATGTGGTTGGTCCGAAAGCGCGAGCAAGTAGAGTGACGGCGGATGGATGGAAGCGGGCGAGTGAGAAAGGGGTGCGTCGAGTACAGATGGGAGCGCGGAATGCGAGCGTAGAGGGATGGACGGAGAGAGCGGAGGGACGGAGGCACTTGCCAGAGTCGACTCAGTCGTTGCGTCCGGCGAGGCTTTCTCGAGTCTTAGCGTATGCGTCGGAGTGGCTTGCTCGTTTTCGCTTGTGGAACTGGCTGCTGTACCAGGCGCGCGGACGTTCCACACGGCCTGGTACTTGTCCAGTAGGTCGTCCACGGGCAGGACCTTGGAGGTCGCAGAGTGGTCGAGTCGCGAGAGAGACGGCGGGGTACCGGCAGATGACACGGGCGAGGGTGAGCCTGAGCATGCAGTGCTCGGATGCGGAGAGGACGACGGGAGCGCGTCAAACAACGGCGGAATGACGGAAGGGACCGGACGAGCGCAACGCGAAGGCGCGGGCTCGTTGATTGTAGTCCATCCGACTCGTCCCTCGACTTCCCTGCTCCGGCTCAGCGGCCCCCCACTCTTTAGTTCGTAGCTGATCGCAGTAGGGATGCGAGGAGCGTGTACTCCGTAAAGCTCGGCGCGTGCGCGCTGGATTAGCCCGGCAGACGAGCCAGTGGGTCGTAAGTCGTCCGTCCGCGCTGCTGAGGGCACTTCCTTGCGGGACTTTGATGCACGCGTGGGCGGGACAGCTTCGCCATCACGGAATGGCTCGACCTCGAGTGACGGGACGGAGACGGCAGGGTGGGTACCAAGCGCGCGGACGTTCCACACGGCTTGGTACTTGTCTTGCCGACCGTCCGTGTGAGCGGTACTGCTAGAGGTCGAGAGAGCGTGCTGTGAGAGCGTAGACGCGGATGAGGGGACATGGCCAGTAGGCGTAGCCGGGCTTGGAGTGATCGGCGAGGCGAGGCCACCGCGCGTGAAGGGTGCTGGCGGACGTGCGAGCGAGTAGGCGCGAGTCTGAGAGGCCGTGGATGCGTTGGACGAGGACGGGGGCGCGTAACGCGTGTGTAGAGGAGCAGAGGGAGAAGGTAGAGGGATAGACCGGCTTACCAGAGTCTCCGCGACTCGACTATCCCCTCTGCCTCGCTCAATCTCCGTCCGAGTCGTACCGCGTGGACTCTTGGATGGTCCTTCGCGGCTGCTCGTCCTCGCGAGTGATCGGCGCGCAGCCTCTATGCCCATCTCGAACAACTCTAGCAAAGTCAGCTCGGCGGACTTGCGGGCGGACGGCGCGCGGGCGTTAGTCTGCGAGTCTTGCGGGGCCTTGTCTGTGCTCGCCCTCGCGCGCGTAGGGGCGGCCTGTTCATAGGACTTGCAGACGCGTCGCACGTCGATCGTCCGCGCAGTGGGCGGGGCTTCCTGTCGAAGCCGTGGCGTAGGCGTAGACGCGTTGAGCTTGCCGTTGTGCAGAGATTGGACGGGTCGTTGCTCGACCTCTGGCCTTGGGCCGTCGACGGCGGGACAGCCACTTGTACCGAGCGAGCGAAGAGTTCGCACGGCTCGGTACTCATGTTGCAGGTTGCCCGCGGGAGGCGTATGGATAGAGGTCGAGAGGTCGAGCCGGGAGGGCGCAGGCGCGTAGAGCGAGTGTGAGGGCACCAGGTCGAAGGATGGGTTGCCGAGGAGAGGGATGGACGGGGTGTCCTTCCCATACCTTTGTGCGAACGCCGCCCGTTCAGCCGCAGCCGTCTCCCTGGCGTGATGCGCACGGACGAGAGCCGCACTTTCCTCGCGCGACGGAAAGCCGGAGATGGAAGGCGGTGACGGATGGGCGGCGAATGCAGGAGGGAGCAGCGGAAGGGCGGCGGCGGATGGACGAGGGTGGAGCGAGGAGGCAGGTGCGTCGAATGAGGGCGTGCGGGCGGAAGGTGGACGCGGAGAGGGCGAAGTAGAGGGCGCATAGCGCGTTGAAGAGGGAGAGGGCGATGGTGGTAGATGGACGGTGGTACTCACCGGAGTCGGCCTGACTCCTAATCCCTGTCCATCGACCTCTCTGCTCGTCTCTTCGCGGTGACTCGTCCGCGCGATCGTCCGTGCATCCCTTGGGTGCCTGGTCGGGCACGTCGACGCGTCTAGCGGGGCTGTCTTGCAGGCGCGGGACGCGCCGTTCGTCTGCAAGTCCTGCGTGGCTGCTCTCGCGCGCGTCGGGACGGCATGACCGTCGGGCTTGCAGGCGTGCTGCGCTCCGCTCGTCCGTGCCGAGGGCGGAACCTCCTGTCGGGACCTTGGCGCGTGGGACTCGCTATCGCGCAGAGGTCGGGCGTGTGGTTGCACGACCTCGGGCCTTGAGCTGACGATGGCTGGGCGACCACTGGTATCGAGCGAGCGGACGTTCCACTCGGCTCGATATTCGTCTTGAGGGTCGCTCGCGTGAGAGGGTCGGCGGATAGCGGTAGAGCCAAGGCGCGAGATGGAGGGTTGGGCGTGGAGAGAGGGCGCGGGCGTGATAGATGGAAGCGGAGAGGACGGAGCCGGAGGCGCATGGCACGCAGAAGAGGGAGAGGGCAGTGGAGGGAGATGAGCGGCAGTACTCACAGGAGTCGGCTTGACTCTTCTTGCCTCTCTGTCGACCTCCCACCTCGTCCCTCCGCGGTAGCTTGTGCTTGAACGGGCCGGGGCGTCCTCCGGGCATCCTAACGCGCGGATCGACGCGTCTTGCGAGTCGATTCTCCGGGCGAGCGACGCGTCGGTTGACCGCGGGCCGTGGGCTTCGTGTGCGCTCGGCCTTGCTCGCGTTGGGACGACCTGGTCGTAGGGCTTGCAGGTGAGCTGCTCGTCGGTCGTCCGCGCCGAGGATGGGGCCTCTTGCCTGGGCCTTGGCGTAAGTATTGGCGCGTCGGTCTTGCCGTCGCGCGGAGGATGGGCGTGCGGTCGTCCGACCTCTGGCCTTGAGCCGTCCGCGGCGGGGCAGCCATTTGTACCGAGCGCGTGAATACTTCGCGCGGCTCGATACTCATCTTGCGGGCTGTCCGCGAGAGTGGGTCGGAGGGTAGCGGGGAGTTGAAGCGCGAGATGGAAGGAGGAGCGAGGTCGACGCGTTGAGCGAGCGACTCAGCGCGCGACGCGTCTGGGCGCTCCGCGGGGATGGAACTCCCACGGGTCTCCGAACGGGCTCGGACCGCGCAGCAGGAGATCCTGGGCCGCAGGTGGCGAGAGGGAGAGGTTGAGAGCCTCGAGGCGCGATCACCGAGGCGTAGGGTTGGGCGCTGTAGGCGCGCGAGCTGTGAGTTGGCGCGGGGCCCGAATTGGTGATAGTGCTCGCCATTCGGAGCAGGCCAGCCAGCTGGGAGAAGGCATTAGGATAGAAAGTGGTAGATAGAGTACTCGAGAATGGATTTCGACTTTGAAGGAATTCCGAGAGAACCTAGAGGGACCAAGGGTGTTCACAGGGCAGTGGACCGGTCCCCTGAATGTCCACCAATGTTAGGGCTCGTGGGCTCGGAACCCTAGATTCAGGGGCCGGGCTGCCTCGTGAACCTACAGTTGGTGGTCGCGACGCGACCAGAGGGGGAAAGGGTGTCTTGAGGTCGTGAGCAGGGCGAGGAGCGCCTGCTGGTGTCGTTAGCAGGGCGACGAGCCGTGCTATAAGGGAGCGCAAGGAGGTCCTTGGTTGCCAGCGACGAGCTGGGCCAAGAGGTGAGTCCTAGACGGGCTGTTGGGCCAGGTCGAGGAGGGGTCCAAGGCGAAGGCGACGAGCCTAAGCCGAGGGGAGTTCCTAGGCGGGGCGACGAGCCTAGCCGAGGACAGGGGAACTAACTCGGACGGCGCGAAGAGTTCGCACTCGGACAAGGTGGTAGTTCAGGTAGAAGAGTAGATTACTTCCCAAAATGGAAGTCAGGTGGCTAGGTACATTGAGATAAGATGAGATGTACACTATCAGTTCATAATCTAATCTAATGGACAGATAATGGGTTATCTATCCGTAACATTGGAGGAAGGCCATAGAAGAGCTGGAGATGGAGTTTCGAAAGCTCCCGCGCGACGTCCGCACTCGGTGGAACTCCACGTTCCGAATGCTGGTCGTCGCGCTTGAGTATCGCGAGGCGATAGTGAAGATGACGGCGACACAGGCGAATGGCCTACGTCGGTGGGAGCCGAACGAGAGGGAGTGGGAGATTGCGACGCAACTCCGTGACGTCCTCGTGGTAAGTCACTCTGTCACTTTGTGGGTCCACAGTTCACTTACCATTCTCGTTCAATCGCCCACGTTCCCTACGACCTCTTCGACTTGCACCTCTCGCTGGCGCCGCTCTACATCTGCTTCGCCATCCACGCACACTCGCATCGCCCTCCGTGTACGCTCGCATCGCCGTCCGCCACGCTCCTATCGGCCTCCGTGTACGCCCCCACCGCCCTTTCACGAATGCCCGCGTTGCTTAATGGGCACAACATCCCGCCCTACGCTGGCACTCGATCCTTCGCCCACTCTGCTCGCACCCTGGTCAAACGCGCACGCCACGTCGATACGTGACTGCGCCTGCTTGCTCAACATGAATGTGTGTGCTGCACGCCATCTTGAACACCGTTCGGTATGTGTCTACTACACTCACCACGCCCATCCGCCGCCCGAACGACTCTGCTCACGCCTCACCTTGTAGGTCGTCGCTCGCTGTGTTTGTCGTGTCCCCGGTACACTGCACAATACGGACGCCACATCGTCGGTTCATCGCGCGCGACACCTGCCCCTGCGGCTTGAATGCGCTGTCCGTCGCCCGCACCTTCTCACCCCGACAATCTCACACACGCGCAACGTCCTTCCTCGCCCACTATGCCTCCCACGTCATCGCTGCATCACTCACGACACCCGGCTGTCTCGCTGGACTGCCCCTTCCTTGGCCCTGCTCTCCCTTCTCTCGCGCGCCCCTTCTCTGCTACACAACATCGGCCACGTGCCACGTCATTCGTTGCACACTACGCCCGCCATGTCACGGATTCATCGCGCGCATCACCCGGCCTTGCGTCTCGCTCGCCTGGTCGTATCTCCCGGCGCCGCGTCACCTTTCGTATCGCCCGCAACACCTGCTCGTTTGTTCACGTGCCTGCTCATTCCCTATCCACCCAACGACTCTCATTCCTCGCCCGTTTGTTGTCCCACCCGCCTGTTCTCTTGCGTGCCCGTGCACACTCTCGCATGCCCGCCCATTTGCTCACCCGTCGGCGCCGCCTGCCACGCCTTCAATCGACCTGCTGGGCTACTACAGGTCTTCTACCATGCCACTCAATTCTTCTCGCGCGAAGGCGAGGAGGCGCCGGATCTCACCGATGTGATCCCATCTATGGACTACATCGACCATCGACTCGCGACCGACGCGATCAACACGAGCCTCGACCCTGCCATCCGTGTTGCCATTGGCATGGCGAAACGTACCATCAATCGATATTACGACAAGAGTGACGAGTCGGCCGCATATCGCATTGCTATGGGTACGTCTGCGTCTCTGTTCCTCTTCACATTTCCTTGGTTTGTTGACTGCGTCTTACAAAGTTCTCGACCCCCGATACAAGTTCAAGTATTTCCAAGACAACGACTGGCCCGACGAATGGATTTCCGAGGCCCACTCGCTGCTACGGCAGACGTATGATGACGAGTGGGCCGGGCGAGTGCCAGTGCTAGTCCAGCATGAAAGTGCCGAGCAGCCCAAGGTACGTTGACATCAGTACTAGGAGCTTCGCGATTGCATTGATGCTCCCCTATTCAGCAGATTGCTGGGCCATCGAAGATGCAAAATATGTTCGACATTGCCCGTGCTAATCGCCAGGAGCCGAGTGAGCTGATCGGGCATGAGCTGGAACATTACCTCAGCAGTGGCCCTGCCCGGAAGGTCAAAATGTACTCAAGTGGTGGACCTCGGAGGAGACGCAAAAGAACTACCCGAACCTGTCGCGCATGGCAGTATGTTATCTAACGATCCCGCGTGAGTGATTCGATCCATATGATCAACTCGAACTTCGCTGACTGGTGCTATTGCAGCCACCTCTGTTGCAGTCGAACGACTGTTCAGCAAAGGCCGAATCATTCTGTCTCACCTGCGAAATGGCCTTTCGGCGGCTTCCATTCGCGCGCTGCTATGCCTCAATAATTGGAGTCTCCAGGGCTTTGTCGAGGACGAAGATATTGTGGCTGTGACTATCGAAGATCCTTCGCACGATGAAGACGAGGATCCATCAGAGGTATGGGGAGAGCAACATGATGAATGAGAGGAGTAGTACGAGAGCTTGCCTAGTAGTTGATGAATGTACATGTTAGTAGATTGTCCTGGTGTATTGAATGATGGATGTGATCGAATGGCCCTGTACCCGCGATGTACCCTGTACCCGCGATGAACCCGCGGGACCCGCCGTCAACCCGGACCCGCGATGCGGGTCACTGACCCTCGCGGGTACGGGTACGGGTAGGCGCCCGGGCACCCGGGGGTTTACCCCTGCAATTCACTATACTTAGCCAACACGCGCGTACTCATTGTGCCGTATCCCCACACCATCGACTCAAATCCACTCAGACCCCGCGTCCTAGCCCTGATCTCGCTCCGCCCACTTCCTCGTTCAGCAAGACCAAACCCGAGCGAGGAGTCCGTTTTGAAGATCGCGCCACACTCTTATCGGGTGTGCAGGCGCGGACGGAGGAGGAGGCAGCAGGGCGGAAGGTAGTGCCGAGGGGCGGAGCGGAATGCAAAGATGACCTTAGTAATGCCAAGAGCCAGTGCGTCTCGTTCGCTCTTATGTCGCTTGTCTTTGCTGATTGATGCCTTCGCCAGTTCGTCGTCTGCACAAGGGATGCGTGCTGTTGTGCCGCAAGAGGCGAGGATATTCCGTGGTTGTGTGAGGCGAGGGCCGTGCCGCGATCGGTGCTTACTTTTCCATCTGTTGCTCATCTCCGTCTGGCGCATACTGGGTAATACAGATCCGGTTTTCAGCTCAGGCATGGTGTGCTCGTCCTCGCCCACTTTCAATGACCCGGTTCAACAACCTCACGTTTGTGGCAAGCATACACGGCCTTTTCCCCTGCTGCTATGTGATAGAAGCTAGGTTTGTGGGGCAGGATACTACGAGCCCGTCCGATGGGACTAATATCAGCTGTCTTCCTCCACAGCTATGTAATGCTCAGTCTGCCAAGACCCGGCTGCAGGGCCCACACACTCCTTAGTCCCGCTATTACATGCGATTACACTCCAGTACCGTGCACTGTGCACTGTGGTTCCGTTTCTGCTGGACATCTTCCTGATTATCTTTGAAAGTGGTCCGGACGCACCTGTTCTACCGTTGCTTACGCATTGCAATTGTAAATGCGATGACAGTGATGGAGGCCAGCCCTCCTCCTCGAAGTGGTCCTCTTAGGACCGCTTCGATCGTCGAGGTGAGTCATATTCAATTGTCGTGTATCCGTGATATCTGGCTCGATGCTTTTCCTACTGTGCTAGGACATGTCCACGACACTAGTAAGTCGACAGAGACTCATCCTCGGTGTCCACTGGCCGCGACCTACAGCGAGACTGAGCCTTTCTCACGGAAGCCTTGCTACACAACGAACCCTATTCACACACCAGCCGGAACCATGATGTCGGGTGTTGCGGTCGAGTCGGTAACTGCGACCGCACTCGCGATGGTTGCGGGTGTGGCAAGCATGGTTCCCGTTGCTGCATCCCCGGGCGGGCTGAGTAGGTGGTGTGGTCGGCCTCGTGATCATTGGCATCCCCATCGTCTCTTGGATGAGAGTCGGAGTTGCTACTTCTATGCTGCATCAGGAGAGCTGCTGTGGCCAGCGTGTTCACGCAGATGCGCACGGCGCATTGTCTGTCACTGGGTCATTGTATGGACCTTCACTCGTGTTATATTCCTGTGCCAGTATGGTGTCATGTTATTGTACTGTCCAAGTGTATGCTGTATCCCATGTATGATATTAGTCGTCTTGAATGTACTCTGAGCGAGGATATTAAGGCCTTACATATACCTGTCGTGCATATAACAATCATTATGAACATACGTATACTTGCTGGGGAGAGGGCCATAGCTGGCAGTACGATCCCTTTGGTAGGATACATGTCAATTTATGAACAACTTCATGCTGCCCGCATCAGAAGTCATGCTTGGCAAGACTGCTAGTATATTGTCTATGCATAGAGTACTGACATATCTTCCACATTTTGCACTTCAGAGTAGCCTGCTAATTTATTAGGTTGTTGTAATATGAGGATCATAGCTTGCAATCATGAGCAACAGACATTATGGATCTGTTTCTTACTTGGTAAATTGCCAAGTTGCTTATCAATATGATCTGAATACTAATGAGCAGTGTTACTGGTTTGTATTGATAGTAACATAGAGCAAATAGCTTGGGAATGTTGCAAAGAAGTAAGGAGAGCCTCTAGATCAACTAGAACTCAAGGAAGGGGAATCTGGGGGGTTGACTACAGTAACCACCACTCAGTTGGGACTTGCTGTCAGTGCTGTTGTACAAGTATTAGCCCTTGATCAGAGAAATTCTGATACCAAAGGATGTCTTTCAGTAGATTGTTAACAGTACTTCCCCAAGTCCAAACCAATCAACAGTGGAGGATGGAACCAATATACAGAGGAGAAGTATACCAGTAAGGAATTCTGAAAAAGGCCTGTCAAGAATTGATGTGTTATACAAGGAATACAACCAAAGAATGTGCAGTTTGCTCTCACCATAAGTGAACAATTACCACACACTGACCAGTAGTACAAAGCCATACTAAGGTATGTTACTGGATTGGAGCTCAGCTCCTGAGTCAATAGTAATGGGCTCATGTAGTACAATGTGAAGCAATGTATCACCATAGTAAGTGCCATCAAGACTGATAGAGTCATGGGCAGGATTGATCACTGATGAATTGAAGGTACACTGGCATAAGAGTACAGAAGCAAGTGGTAGATGAGATAAATGTTTGGACTTGCTCATAGGGATGCTCCTTTTGTGCATTTATGCACAGCCTTTTAGCTACATAAAATACTTCATAGAATCCTACAAAATAGTAGAAGACTCAGTACACCACTTTCCAAGGCCATTCAAGATGCACAATAAGCTCACAGGCTCATTGTAAGGCAAGGGTAGATGTGCCAATATTCTCACTGATCATCAAGGATGTGCTCTGTGATTCATGACACACCACTTGCATGTTGTCCTGAAACACTAGCACAGCCTTATGAACACTCAGAAATAGTGTACAGCTTGACAAGTCACTCATAGATTGCCTGCCAGCTGGGATAATATATCAATAGATAACATAGTCTGAGCTAATAGAACCCCAGTAATATCTTTCAAAGCATCTGGTCACAAGGGGTCTAAGGAGAGCACTAGAAACATAGTAATAGTCCAGTCAGAACATACACCAATAGGTGCCACAAAGAATAACAATGTGGGAACAAAAGATCACTGAAATCTGGTCAGAAAGCATTGTGAACCCCAAATGAAGTCCATTAAAAGGATCTACAATAAAGATAACAAAGCCCAGGAGTGATAACAATTCCTGCTGCCTACCCTATTCAAAGACCATATCTATGGAGTTTCTTGTAGAAAAAGGGTTTTCAATGCCTTGTCCCTAACAACAGACTGCATACTAAGACTTGCACATGGGCCTTTCCTGGGTATTCTAGTAATGCCTACTATCAATGGTCATGCTCTCTGATCATAAGTCCAAGGATTTCTATGTCTTCAGACATACTGATAATCACCAGTGTCATTTTCTGGCTGACTGTTCATTATTTTGTGTGCACATACAATGTATGGTACTATATTTGGATTAGACACTATATTTTTCATGTTGACATTCCTTGGGCATGGCAGATACCACCCAGGATCAACTGCCAAATGGTGTACTGGTAGGCACACTGCCACATATTTCCAATGCTGTTCAAATATCACACATGTTCACACCTGGGTCTAAAGTGTTATATTTCCACTTTCCATATAACATGAAAGGACCCAACATGAACACCCATGAAATCTCCTGTATCTGCTGAGTGCGAGGATGGTCAGCTTGATGCTCACTCACTGAACCTCGTCGCGCTCATACCTTTTCTCCTAGACCTGCCATCCGTAGATCGTGATGGCGTCTCCATCAACTCAGCGAGCCGTAGGTACGCTAGGTAGACGCCATACCTGGAGAGAGTTTGGGATGCTAACCGCAGACCATTTTTAGCGAGGACACTCCCAGCCATCTCAGAATTGCCAGACTCGAAACTGTGCGTCCTCCTCAGACAATCCCGGAACTCTGGTGCATCCAGACAACTCCTGAATGGTCCTATCGAACGGAGTGGATGTACGCACTGCGCACTTCATGACGACGCACACCGACCTCAAGTGATACATGCTCAAACGGCGCCGACTGGTATCCTCACGATGATACTGATGCGCCCGACCTTGATAGGTACAGAGCGCGTGCTGTGCAATAACCCCAGGTCTGGCACGCAATAATATCTGTCACAGGCCATGGACACTGAGGAACGTCGATCCGCGGTTGGCTTCGCTCCTACGTCTCCCGTCGGCTTTTTTCCCCCCCTTTGCGGCAGTCCAAGCTGCAACTTTCTCCCGCTCTCTCGTGCCACCCCGGTCGGAGCCCCTTAGGCTTCTATGGCGCCGCTATCTAGTGGTCAGATATGTACTCATTGTACTTGACCTTGATTGACCTGCTCTTGTCGAATTTGAACATGTCCAATACAATCAAATACCGATACCCTCGAGCCCAAATCGTCAATGTATAGTACACACGGTCATCGTAGAGTGAATAGAGATGGTTTCCATACCGGATCAGGCTCCATAGGGGTGTAGTTTCCAATTTACTGACTCCCTGGGTTTTCGGTGTATTTCTGAACAATCCATTCATCGGCACTGGATTCCTCATCGCTCTGTATATCGGCGCCCGGCCCCTCGTCACCCTGTTTATTGGCACTGCTCTGACCGAAGTTAATGAGATTGTCGGCACTTGATCACATGACTTGTGTGAGTGGGGCATCGGGGGAAGGGGGGAGATGTCAAGTGAACGGCACATCAGTCGGGATTTGGGGTCATAATGGATAGAAGACAACCGACGGCAGGCTGGAGATCGGACATCTTCGCACTTGCACCCTACGAGTACGCGACGTGGATTTATGAGCGGAGGCGCAGTCCTGAGCGGAGGAGTGTTGGCGGTGGGGCCAGAAGTAGCGAGGGAGCCTCGAGAATGCAGCGAGGCCACATATATGAGTACTTGGGAAGAGCTGTTGCCGAGCCGCACGGTGACTGCCGCGACCAGGGCCTTCCATGCCATGGCCACAGTCCGATCCATGCCCCTAACCCTAGCTGTGTTCTTCGAGGTGCGCTCGATTTGGATAGCCAGCTGCAGCCTTTGATCAGCCTCCTCCAAGTCAGCGTCGCTCATTCCTCTTCATTGAATCATCCATTGGCCTCGAGTTATATAACATCTGGAGATTCAACTCTACATCAATGCCGACTGCCCCGCGTCACTCGACTAGGCCGCGTACCTGCAGTTGTTGCCTTGGGTAGCCATCGCGTACCTCGATCATAGATCTGTGTGGTGCAGTTTGTCGAGGTCAGCCTATCCGGGCCAATTGCGCTACACCCCGCTTGCGTTCACTGGATTGCCTCTGTGCGCTGTAGATTGTCTTCCCACGAACATAATCCATCTTTGCGACACTAGTGCAGCTGCACTATTCCCGTCCTACAACACGAGGCTTCGGAACCACGGCTCACCGCCCTTGCAGATAAGTACTCGCCGAATGAATCCTCGTCACGCTCCGGAGATCCACCAGTTGCTCATCGCTGATGCCGTGCCATGTGCCGTGCGGTATGCGACATCTATCAAGGCATACACTATATGCGGAATTAGCGATTATACGTGCGTCCGGTGCCTCTCGTCAACGCGAAGCGTACCGTACATTCACTTTCTTTTGGCATATTCGTGGATGCTGCCTACACGCAAGGGCCGGAGGGCGTCCTCGACCTCCTGCTTGATAGGGACGTCATCGTGGTGGGACCACCGGGGTCCCCGATATGCGGCTGCCACACGTCCGGTATGTGCTCCTCGAGGAGGAAGGGATACAGTCACCCGCCCGCCGCAGATCGTCAGCAGGGTCGAGCTGCTGGAACAAGTAAGGTGTCAGTGCAACCCAAGGGGGAAGCCGGTGGACACGCACTTGGAGGCACCGAAGAGCTTGTGAACCATCTCCTCGCTGTACTGGCCGTTGCTGGCCTTGGACTGGACGTGCTGTTTGCCGAGCATGCGCAAAAGGTTGCTCGCGGCGATGTCTCTGCCCGGGCCTGTCCCGCTCTCGAAGAGCTCCTTGATTCGGAGGTGCGGTGTGGGTTTTGGCTGGTCGGGGTTGTGGAACCCGCGTGTCAGCTGCTGTCGTATCGATGAATGTGTGAAGGGGACGTACTGCATAGTAGGGACACGTCGTGCTCTACGCAGTTGTGCGCGCTGGGGTCGCTGAGATCGTCCCGTAGTTGCGGTCCAGCGTGTTCGCAGCGTGGTGCGGGACAAAGAAACAGAAGGTCGGCGAGAAGTTGAACATCTCCCGGCATTTGGTGTTGAGTCCGGGGAAGGTGATGTTGCACCCGTTCCGAGGGATGATGCCTGGCCGCGCCGAAGCTCTGCAATGGCCGTTTACATATAGTAGGATACACACCGTGGCTCGCCATGGCATTCAGCATCGGGCAGCAGCTCCGGCTGTCCGTGTCTTTCGGAGGATGAACCATGGCCAGAGCCCACCCTCGCCCGGCCTTCTGGTACCACACGGTCTGTTGTGCAGAGTGCGAGGTCCCAGATGAGGAGGCGGATGGGGAGGATGACGTTCACGATGCCGTAGATGAGGCCGACACCCAATCGTGTTGCTGCTACCGCTGCAAATGAGGGTGTCATGGCGTTAGATAGTGAACAACGTGGGGGCGGGGTAGACGCGGGCGGGATAGACAATGAGGAGAGGACTTATGCATGCCCGGGTGTCGCAGGCATCCGACGGGGAAGCTGTCCGTGAAAGCCGGGACGCATACCGCAGAGCAGAAGCTGTCTGGACGGTGGGCGGCTGGATCGGGGTATGGTACCTGCGTATGGCAGTGCACTTGTCCGTTCTTGTCTGTTGCTGGCATGGATGTCTGAATGTCCAGAGCCGCACTCGGATCGGGCGGAGTAGCGTCTTGGGATGCTGTGATCCGCCTGCTGTCAAGTGCCGAAGGTCCTGTGCTTGACACGAACGTAAATAGGTAGCAACACATGAGAACAGCTAACTCACGTCCACAAACTCCGCAACTGCTCTGAATCGTCTCAGGCAAAGTTGAACGTGTCACGGTCGGACCCGGGCCACAGCTAGATCAAGACGTGGAATCGCCTACGAGCCATCGATGGGTGCTATTGCCTTCCACCCCTGTCCGTTTGTGCCGCTCGCGCCACGCCATGTTCATTTTGACTCTCGGTGTGCTGAAGAACGGCTGCTCACGAGCTCGCGCAGGCTCCATGTCCCGAGCCTCACAGGGACGTCATCCGAGTCAGTGAGTTATTCCTGGTGCTGTTGTGGTCCTGGAGCCGGTCCCGTCCCTGGTTTTGATGTGCATAGCCAATGAATTTCACTGGAGAGGAGGCACTGTGAAACCCGTCTAGGTCCGGACAAGTTTGGAGAGCGATCGTCGAGGCTCTGGGAAGGTTCAGGGAAGCGTCATGGAGTGCTGCGATGCGGTGATGCGGAAAACTGATGTGACGGTATACTAGAGGCACTTGTGTCAGCGCAAAAATGTCAGAAGATAGAGATTCTCGGCCAGAACCAAGGGCGTAGTCAGAGTTTTGAGTAGTAGACGTCGCGGCCTATTAGCCGGTGGTGGCTCACACAGCACCTCGGAGCGTCTACACCTATATTTATATCTCCCATAACGCAGTACTCGCGTGTTGAATAACAACTGACCTTCGGTGAATGCACCGTCTCACAGGCCTATTGAAAGGCTGTGAGTTGATGACTCCCTGGCGCAGCCTACGTCTCTGGGACAGACTATTACTTATACAGATAGACGATCCGCCGTGGTTTGTTTGTTTGTTTGCTTGTTTGTTCCATTTAATGTCACTGAGGGCAAAGCCCTATGTAGACAGTACTTATACTACTCTCGGCGTGTCTCGTCTAGTCCGTGGTCGCTGAGCATTGCCGTTCGCCGGAGCGTAGGGCAGGTATAGTAGAGTGTACAGTTTAGTGAGATGTGAATGCGTCAAATGGGATGGATTCTTCCTCTCCCCCACTCAAAGAGGTCTTCTTTAGGGTCTGCCTAGGGGAGACTAATGGATTCTGGGTGTGCGGGTTCTCGGTTCGCTGTGTGTCGAGCACTGTTCATCGTCGCCGCACCTCTTTGCTCGGTCTCTCGTCTTCTCTCCTTTCATCTCCAGGTCTCCGTAGGCGGCCGCGAAGCGGCCGGTGTTGTGTATATATCGGAAGAGGGGTCGCATAGTACTCGCTGAGCTGAGAAGGTCCTTGATCGAGCGAGCGGCCGGGCCTGCGTCGCGCGCGAGCTGGTCGCGTTGTTCATTGAAGGCTGGACACTCCATCAGGTAGTGATCCACCGTCTCGCGAGTGGTCCTGCAAGACGGGCATATGGTGTTACGGATGCGGCGGACAGGGTGAAGTCCGCGTACCTACATATATATTCTTCACTGTACAATAACCGCGACCCCCATCTCTTTCTTCCTTGTCCCGTCTAGCAGTAATACTTTGTCGTATCATGTGTACATCTAGGCGCGCGTCTCCGCTGAAGGCGCGCGCCATACGAAATAGACGCACAACGTCTTAGCATCCTACATCCTCGTCCGAGTGCGATTTCGCCGCGCCGTACGAACTAGGATCAAGTCCCTCCAACGTCGGGCTCCTCGCCCTTCGTCCTCGACGCGAGCTCCTCGCTGCGCTGTCCCTCTGAGTCGTCTCCTCGTCGACTCCGCCGTCGAGCTCCTCGCCGACTGCCAGCGCGCTCCTCGCGCAACGACCTCAACGCGGGCTCCTCGCCTCGTTCACGCCTTCAGCAGGCTCCTCGCCCCGTCACGACCTTTACGACCTTCACGTCCTCAAGTCCGCGGTCTCCTAACGACCCACGTCCTCGAGTTCACGGCCTAGCCCGGCCCCCTCGCGAGAGCGCGAAACCGCTAACTCTCACATTGGTGGACACTCAGGGAGCCGGTCCACTAGTACATGAACTCGCCTCCTCCATTCTCCCTTCATGTCGACCCGAACGCCTGCCGCCGGTACTTCATTCGTCGGCGACGCCAAGCGACCTCTCCGGTCTGCCTCGGTCGTCCCGTCCGGTTCGACTACCCCTTTCACTCCGGTCTCCGCTCCTAGCCCTGGGGGCTCTCTCGGATTCTACGGAGCAATTAACCCTGCGCAACCTCCCGCTGGTCCGCCCGCGCCATCGCCCCACTCGCCTGTCGATGTTTGGACTAGCGATTTTAGCCGCTTTCCATCCTCGCAGCCCAGCGGTGCGAATACTGCTACCCTCCCTAGACCTTTCACGGGCGACCTACCCGAAGGATTGGGGGTCGGTGGATCCAATCCCACGCCTTACACTGTTCCTCACGCGTCGCCCCGCAAGGATGGTAGTTCCAACACCGTGCTCCCAGACGGTTGGACCTTCCGTAAAGTGGTTCCATCCCCTATGCCGTCTGGCGTACAAATGCCCGTGCCAGGACGTCCACAACCGTCCTTCCTTGATGGATTGAACCCGCAGGCCTCTTCTACGCCCGGTCGTCCGGCCGCGATGCGGTCGGAGAGTGTCACCTCAACCTCCTCCTCCTCTTCATCGGAGATGCGTCAAGCCGCAAAAATGCCATCGACAAGATTCATTTGCGAGACCTCCTCGACAAGGACGGGAAATTCAAGGCTCACCTCCGCCGACCGGACGAGGCCCAGCGCATCTACCTTGAACTCAACTCTCCCGACGTTCAAGGTCGATACCGTCCGCTCTTCGAAGAATGCAATGCTCTAGTCTGCAAAGACGTGGACCCGGACGACATTGTCGACTCGAAGAACCTTGACGACAAGGACGGCCGATTCTACCTCGCAGGGAAGCAACACGACCGAGTAGAGTACGTTACTGAAGGCATGGAGAGCTTAGTCGCGGCGATGCTGCGTTTGGAGGGCGAGAATCAGTTCTGGAAGGTGGATCACGCGGAGTCCCTTACCAAAGCTCTGTCTGGCGCGTCCTCTAGAGGTATGATCTCGGACGCCTATCGCACTGTTCAATACCGCGTGGCCAAAGTGTCGACGCTCATTCATCAACGTCTCGCACTACACGGCGGATACACATACCCTAGATCCGTCAGATCTACCGCCTCCGACTTCAGCAACGACCTGGCTACCTCCGTCACGAAGAGAGCCATGGTCGATAAATGGCTGAGGCAACCCGATATATTCCCTAATCTTACCCCTGAGTACCAAGCAGTGGTACAACACCGTTTGAGTGACTCGCGGGAAAACGAGGATCCGGCCTCCCTCGCGCAAGTCCCTCCGGAGCTGCGGTTTAAGATTCTTCCCGGTTCGCTCCTCACTAGCGCCGTCATCCTCAATGCTTCCATGACACAAGACTACGACGTGACGGGAGCCGGTTCGCTTGCTTCGCCGGAGCGAGTTGAACAAGAATTGACTCACGGAGTATCCCAATCCACCGCCGAGCCGTCTGTTCCTCCTAAGAGGATCACTCGAGTTCGATTACCGCCTCCGACCGTCGACACTCGTCCCCGCTACACGCAAAGGTCAAGCTACGGGAACCCCACGTTCGAACTACAGCCTCCAGGCGAAACGACTCGGCGCGTCCAGTTCCAGGAACCTCCGTCGATCAGCCAAACTGGTCTACCGGACATAAGCGCATCCCTCGCCTTCCCGACTCAACCGTTTTCAGCCCCGACTTCCAAGGAAGAGCGGCGATCGTCCGGTCCTCACCCCCGTGGCCATTCTCGCGCCTTGCCCGACTCGTCCGCTGCTCAAGCCGTACGTGACGCGGTGTACCCGAACGGAGTGCCGCCGTCAGTAGCTCAACCGTCCCAAGCTAATCCCTCAGCGTCCACGAACGCTGGCATCTATCAAGGATACAGAGACCTTCCTCCTCATCTCGCTCAACCTAACGTCGCTCCGCAAGCCTTCAAAGGGCCGAACGGTGATCACTACTACGTTTACCAACCCAACTCTGCCGGTTATGCGACGTACGGAGGGAACCGCCCTCCTACGTCTCATCTTCTGAATCCTACCCCATCTCCGCAAGGCCCCGGGAGTCCTGGTCCTCCCTCCAATCATTCGCCTAGCTACCCCGGAGATGCGAACCCGGGCGGTGGCCCGCCATTCGGAGGACCTCCGGGCGGTGGTGGTGACGGCGGTGGCGGTGGTGGCGGCGGTGGTGGTAGCGGTGGCGGTGGCGGCGGTCCCGAGTACGACCCGTACGGTGGAGGCCCCCCCGGTGGAGGTCCCCCTCCTGACGGAGGCTATTCCTACGGGTTTCTCCCTGGCAACCAGCCCACTATCATCATACACCATACTCCTGCTCCTCGCGAGCTAGGCGTGCGCCTCGACCAGAAGATTTCGCGCGACTCCATCCCGGAGTGGGACGGTCGGCTCCCTACTATCCTAGTTTATCTCCATAAGATGAACAACCTTGCCAACAAGAATGAATACGTTGCTCGGGACCTAGGAGCCGCTGCTCCCGACCGCTTTACGGGCCGAGCTGAGAGCTGGTGGCAGATGCTCGGCTTGCAACATCAACAACTTTATTCTTCTAGTTGGTGGGCTCTGTACCAGGGCATCAAGATTCAATTCTTTACTCACAAGTTCCTCATGGCGCTACGAACTCACTACGATGGTCAACGATTCCGCCAGGAGGGACACGAAAAGGAGTCTCCTCTTAGTTTCATTGACTGGCGCATCCTCTATCATTGACATCTCACTCGCGTGGAAGAAACTCCCGAAGACGAAATTGCCGCCATCATGCAGAATACGCCGCCAACTTGGTCGACAGTCCTATCCATCGATTCAATCTTTACTATAGCTGCCTTGATGGCCAAGGTCGCCGACAAGACGGACGAGCTCATAGCCTTCGCCGGCTTGGGTCTGGCTCGCTCGTCGCAATATGAGCAAGTCCTCCGACTCCCGACATCTAAGCCCGACCTGCGCTTTACGAGCAAAACCAAACGCGCGCATGCTGCGGACAGCATTGGAGGAGGATTTGAGTTTGACGACGAAAGCGACCCCTCCGAGAGCCCGGCGACTTCGAGTGGGATCGGCGAGGGCGATGTTGCCGCCCCGCTAACCCAATCTCGAGACGTCGCAACCGCTGCATCTCAAGGACAATCTTCTAAGTCTATTCGAGGTGCAGGGCGTAAACCGCCTCGAGGTGGCCACCAATTCAAACGCGATGACTCCGTCAAAAGCAAGTGACCTCCTCCCGGAGACTGCAGGGTGTGCGGTAGTCCGTACCACTGGGACCGAGACTGTCCGCACTGGAACGAATACGACATTGGACGTAACACTTTCCTCATCGGAGCTGAGTATGATTGCGACAAACAAGAGAACGAAGACTACGAGCAGGCTTTCGTAGCGTACATCTGTAGTAGTCTGAACAATACCAAACTTTCGAGCGCGTTATGGACGGATATCCGTCAGGCTGAAGGACTTTACTTGAAAGTTAACGCTGTCTCCCGACCTTCGACACGCTCCGTGACCATCGAAGAAGAAGCCAAGACTCTGTCCCAGGCTACCGAAGTCCTCCCGCTTGACCCACATTATTTAGTGTGTCTAACCCGTTCGGAACGGTAGACCCGGAGTGAGATTTGCCCGTTTGGAACGTTGACCCGGAGGCCGGCCGGAGCAGCCCCAGGGTCCGGCCGGAACGTTTGCAACGGTGCCATTGCAATGCTCCGGCTGGAGGGCATGGCCGGCTGGTCATCCACCATCTCCAGCGTTGCGGCCGGCCTCCCCTGGAACCTTCCCAAGACGTTGCAACGGTCCGGCCGGAGGGCATATGGGCCGGTCATCCTCTTTCCAACAGTCCGGCCGGAGCAGGCAGATTTCTGAGCTAAACGGAGCGGCCGGGCAGTTTACATTGCAAATGCTCCGGCCGGTCAGTAAATACAATAAACATGGTACCATTAGCAACGGCCCGGCCAGAGTTCCTGCCAGAGCAATGTACACATTGCAACGGTCTGGCCGGAGCACATGGAATCAATTCCCAGCAATGCAAATGGTCCGGCCGGTCAGTCAATACACCACTGCAAATGGTCCGGCCGGCCAGTAGAAATGTCAGTGTCAATGGTCCGGCCGGCCGGATTTTTTCACCTTTTTCCGGCCGAAAATACAATGTCTCGGGCCGGGGGTACAGCCAAAACTCGGCCAAAGCAGCCAGCCATTTTGTCGGCCGAGCTTTTGCTTTGCCGACCGGGCACAGATTTCCCCGGGCCGAGATTGTTCAGATTGTCTCGGCCGAAGATTTTCAGATTGTCTCGGGCCGAAAGATTTTTGGCCGAAGCTTGGTGGTGAAAGTGGCCAGACATTTCACCTGCCAATGGTTTGCTTCACCAATGGGCAAAGCATTGTCTCGGGCCGAAAAGTTGACAATTTTCTCGGGCCGAAGATTTGAGTACTGCCTCGGGCCGAAGAGTTGGGCATTTTCTCGGGCCGAAGATTTGGCCGAAGCTCGGTGAAAACAGCCGGGCTGTCAGATTGCCATATAAGGAAATTTTGTATTGACTGGTAGTACTTCATTGATAGACTATAGTATCAATTCCCTAGTGACCAAAGATGTCTAGTTAGGCCAGGATGTGCAAAACAAGATTTACTCACAGGCTTCTTTGCACAACAAGCTAATCAATTTCTGAAGCCAGTTTTCTTTTCCCACACTGTTTGACTATCTAGGATGTGTTGTTTCAATGCATAGAGTATATCCCCAACAGGAATAGTCTTATTCTTTGAAGCTGAATGCAGAACATGAGATAAGGGGCATACAGGTATGGTACCGTGCTGAACAATGTTAACTCCTGCAGCCAATGTACATTCAAAACAATGTTTCACCATCTAGAATAGTTCATTTCCTCACAAGGACTTAGTTCTCCAAAGGAATAGTCTTATTCACACAAGCTGAATGTGGTACAGAGTTAAGGGGATCATGCACTCCGGCCGGACCATCTCCTATGAGGATGAGGATTCGCCGGCCGGACTGTTACCAATGTAAATGTTTCTGTGGCAGGTGCAATGTGCATGCTGGTACAACATTTCAGTGTGACACCCAGACAGACAATAATCCAAAGTATGTCTCTCACAATATAATGCATATTCACCTTATCTTCATCCCCGAGTTCAGCTTCAAAGAATAAGACTATTCCTTTGGGAGACTTGCTTGTTGCATTGAAATGTGCTACTCTAGATTGTGGAACATTGTGGGGAAAGCATATTGGCTTCAGGAAGTAAACACAGTATGACATGTATACCCATACACCCTTGCCTTAACTCTGTACTACATTCAGCTTATGTGAATAAGACTGTTCCTTTGAAGATTCACTCCCTATGGGTAAATGAACCATCAGAGGTTGTGAAACAGTGTTTTGAATGTAGATTGTCTGCAGGAGTCAACATTGTTCAGCACGGTACCATACCTGTATGCCCCTTATCTGTTGTCCTGTATTCAGCTTCAAAGAATAAGACTATTCCTGTTGGGGATATTACGATCCCTGAGGTACGAAGGAATCGTTCTTATGACTGGAGAGAATGTAACGCTTAGCATGGAGCCCAATGTGGCAGGTTTTTCCCACAGTGCATGTGACTGTTTGTAGGCCAGATAAGCAGACATAAGTAACATTTACTATGCTATCATTACCTGAGTTTCAAATTTCAGACTCCCAGATGACGCGACTTGCACCAACACACCCAAACAAATGCAGTGGCTGACAA